ATAAACACCTAAAAGGTGCTCAAAATCTTTCATTATCATGGAAATACAAATTTAAACCTTGAGATACCATAACACATAACTGGAATGACCAAGAAAAAGTCTACTCTTACTAAGTGTGAGCGTCAGCATGGAGTTAGTTGAGCTCTCATACCTTTATGATGGGAGTGTAGATGGTGTAACAACTTATAAGATAGTTTGACAGCTTCTTATAAACTCAAGTTTACATATATACTTTGATCCAGCAATTTAACTATATATTTATCCAAGACAATATATAAATAAGGCGGGGTGAGGTGGCTCATGATTGTAATCCAAGCATATGGAGGATCGTGGTTCGAGGTCAGACCAGGCAAAAACATAAGACCAGGCAAAAACAAGCTAGGCACGGTGAATGCCTGTGATTCTAGCTATACAGGAAGTATAGGTAGGAGGATCCTGGTTCACACTAGGCAAAAGCAAGACCCTGTCTGAATAATAAACTAAAGCAAAAAGGACTGAAGGTATGGTTTGTATTATTAGAGTGCTTGTGAGTCCCTGACTTCGAAAGCCCAGTACAACAACAACAACAAAAAAAAAAAAAAAAAAAAGGAAAGAAAGAAATATGAGCCATGTGCCAGTGACTCATGCCTATAATCCTTGCTATTCGGGAGGCTGAGATTAGGAGGATGGAGGTTCAAGGCCAACCTGGGTAAAAAGTTTGTGAGCCTTCCATCTCAACCAATAGCTGGATGTGGTGGTACACACCTATCGTCCCAGCTCTGCCAAGAAGCCTAAAATAGGATTCCTCTCCAGGCTGACCTGGGCAAAAACCAAAACCCTATCTCGAAAATAACGAGAGCAAAAAGGGCTAGAAGCATGGCTCAAGTGGCAGAGCATCTGTCTAGCAAGCAGAAAACCCTGTGTTCAAACCCCAGTATTGCAAAAAGAAAAAAAATATATATATATACATAGTTATACACACACATATGTATGTTTGTCTATATACACATGCACCTGTCCCCACAAAGACTTGTATATGTCAATAGGTGTATTTATAAGAGCCAATAACCTATATAACCAAAATGGTCACCAAGAGAATGGATAAAGATATGATATGGTCATATAATAGAATACTAAGCAATAGGGGGCAAGCAATAAATACTCAGACATATACTGATCAAAAGATATCTCTATGACCCCATTTATTAATGTTCTGTAAAACTGATCAGTAGTAATAGAAATGTGACCTGTTTTTGAGGCCTGAGTTGCGAAGGATTATCTGTCAGAGGGTCTAAGGGAACTTTTCAGGGTGGTAGAATTGCTTTATAATTTGTTTGAGGAAGGTTGCACATACATACATTTATCAGAACTTAAATTGTGAAATTAAAGTGTATTATTGCATGCAAATTACTCATTTAAATTTGATTAAAAAGTTTGGTTGAAGCTGGACATGGTGGCACATGCCTGTGATCCCAGCACTTGAGAGGCTGAGGCAGGAGAATAGAAAGTTTGAGGTCAGCTTGAGCTGCACAGTGATAACCTGTCTCCAAAAAAAAAAAAAAAAAATAGTTGGAAGGAATTGAATCAGTATAGCAGTCATTATGCTAAATATGAACACTTTATTGTACAGTAAGACACTATCAGAGTACATTGAGAAGCAAAACCTAACCAGGTGCTGTTTAGAAGAAACAACCTTGAAAACTTGACAATGATGAAAAATAAAGAATTGGCTAAAGATTTAAGTAATTATAGCAATATTTGACCAGGTATATTTATGTATCAAACCGGATTAGTGGGTATTGCCATAATAAAAGGCACAACTCAAAAGAATCTGATAGTCATAAGCTGTGTGGCTAAATAGCTAAGTACATAAAGCAAAAGCAATGTGAGTCATGGTGTGGGACTTTGATATGTTCCTTAGAATTAGAGCTAGCTGATAAAAAATAAAAGAGTGTTAGGAATTTAGTAGTGTTTTCAATAAATTTAATTATAGATGTATATAAGGAAATAGTGTTTAAGATTCCCATGATAAGGCAGGTGCTGGTGGCTCATGCTTATAATTCTAGCTACTTGGGAGGCTGAGATTGGGAGGATCATGGGTCGAGGCCAGCCTAGTCAAATAGTTGGTGAGACCCCCCCCATCTCCAAAATAACCAGAGCAAAATGGGCTGGAGGTGTGGCTCAGGTGGTAGAGCTCCTGCTTTGTGAGTGTGAAGCCCTGAGTTCAAATCCCAGTCCAGCCAAAAAAAAAATTCCCTACAATGATTTTTTTTTTTTTGGTACTGGGGATTAAATACAGGACTTTATTTATGTTAGGCGAGTGCTCTACCACTGAACTCTATCCCCAACCCTTTTGAAAAATTTTATTTGAAGCCAGGTACCATGGCTCATGCTTGTAATCCCTGCTACTGGGAAAGTGGAAATTGGGAAGCTCTAGGTTGGAGGCCAACCTAAGCAAAAAGTTAGCAAGATTCCATTTTAACCAATAAGCTGGGTATGGTGGTGGATGCTTATCATCCCAGCTACTCTCCTGAAGGTAGGAGGTTCTTGGTCTAAGGGCAGCCTTGGGCAAAAACAGGAGACCCTACCTAAAAAATGACTAAATCAAAAAAGGGTTGGGGGCATGGCTGTAGGCAGAGCATCTGCCTAGCAGGCATGAGGCCCTGAGTTCAAACCCCAGTGCCACCAAAGAAAATTATTTTGGGACAAGGTCTGGCTAAGTTAACCAGGCTGGTCTCAAACTTGCCATCCTACTACCTCAGCCTTCCAAGTAACTGGAATTCCAGACATGTGCCTCTGTGCCCAGGTAGATTTTTTTTTTTCTTGTCCAAAGCACTTTGGTTTAAATTTGTCGGTGTTCAAGGTGCTTGACCATAACAATTGTATGAAAATTATAGCAGATGGGAAAAGTTGAGATCTTACAGTCCACATTGAGTTAATTAGAAAGGAATAATTATAAGATGATTCCTTTGAAATCTGCCTCCTCTAGAGGGTTTCTGTATCTTCCCTACAAAATTTTCCTAAGTTTATTTTACTTTATTTTTGCCATACTGGGGTTTGAACTCAAAGCCTCATGCATTCTTGGCAGGCACTCTACCACTTGAGACTTGAGCCACTCCGCCAGTCCCTAAGTGTTTATTACGTGCTGTGACAAAGATTAATAATTATCCTTCCTAGCCTTTCTCTCCTCTCTAGTAAAGAGAATCCTGACTTTTCACTGGGACATGGTCATTTGGGGTCTGACTCCATTTTTCCACCTCTCTCACACGTAGATATGCTAGTAACTTTTGGCAATGGGATATAAGTAGAATTGCCATGTTTCTTTGGAGGGAGTATTCCCCTTGTTTTCTTAACCCCCCTTTTCTGCTGGGTAGAATGTGGGTGTCATTGTTAGCACTACTAACCATCTTGGATTATGAGATGGAACCCACATGTTGAGGGTGACAGAGTTACAAAGTTGAAGACTATTAGGTCCCCAATGATCATGGATCATGCCCTGAATTGCTTGCTTTTGGAGTTTTTGAACTCAGGGCTTCATACTTGCAAAGCAGGTGCTGTAAGCCAGGAGCTGGTGGTTCACTAAACATAAACATGGCTTAACTAAAACAGAAAATCCAAAGATAAGCCAAGGGCCTCTGGCTCATGCCTGTAATCCTAGCTACTCAGGAGGCAGAGATCAGGAGGATCACGGTTTGAAGCCAGCCCCAGCAAATAGTTCCATGAGACCCTGTCTCAAAAATACTCAATGCAAAAAAAGGCTGGTGGAGTGGCTCAAGTGGTGATGGCTCTGAGTTCAAACCCTAGTACTATAAATGAATGAATGAATGAATGAGTGAGTGAATGAGTAAATAAATAAATAGCAGGTGCTTCTACCGCTTGAGCCACACCTACAATCCATTTTGCTCTGGTTGTTTTGGAGATGGGGTTGAGAACTATTTGCCCAAACTGACCTTGAATCTAAATCCTCCCAATTTTAGCCTCCCAAGTAGCTGGAATTACAGGCATGAGCCTGAGGCCCCTGGTTTTATCTTTAGATTTTATGTTTTAGTTAAGCCATTACTTTTTAGGTTTTTCTGCCAGGCACATTGGAACATAGCTTTAAGCTGATACACATTTCTAATTAGTCATTGGCAAGGGCATCGGAAACATGATTGTCTTAGACTAACATTTTTGGGATGGAATAGATGTTGTTTATGATACACAGAAAGAAAATGTCTTGTTTCAGAGAGGCTGTCATTTTTGATGAAGGAGGGAGGAAAAAGAATCCGGGAAAAGCAATGTAGAAAAAAATAGCATTGTTCCTAAATATTAAAAATTTCTCTGTAGCCAAAGATACCCAACACAAATCATAAGGAAAAAAATAAGACTGAGAAAATACACACATGGGAGACATTCTTCATATAAAAAGAGCTCCCAAACATTAAATTAAAAAAAAAAACTTGGTAGCAAAAGTGGGCAAAAAATATGGAATGTTAATTCACAAAGAAGGAAGTGCAAATGGCCAAAACATCTGAGAAGATATTTAGACATTGGAATTAGTGGAGTCAAAACCTTAATGAGATACCAGGCTATGTCTATCATGTTGGCAAGATGTAAAATTATTATGAAACTTCTGACTAGGAACACGTGCGGGAGGACAGGCACTAACACATACTGCTCAGGCCACTTCAAAAGCAGCAGCTAAACGTCCATAATATGTCATAGTTTGCCATGCTTGCCCTAGCAGTTTTTGTGGTCGTTTTTTATAGTATAAAGTATAACATTCTATTCTCAGCTAGGGTTAGGTATGTTTTTCTTCATCTCTATTGTTTTTAGTGTTTTTTCTTCTTTTTTTTTTTACATGTGGTAAATAAGTTTCATCCAAATTTGTACGCTATGAATATGTCCTGTCATTTTTTACTAGTCACAGTATGCGTTAAATGTACCCAGTATGTTAAATTGTACTGTATTGGGAATTAAGAAAGATATTAATATATGAAATTCTGACAGACTGACTTTTTAAAAATTTATTTAAATTACAGACTAACTGGATCTTCTGGGTTTGTAACAGATGGACCTGGAAATTATAAATATAAAACGAAGTGCACGTGGCTCATTGAAGGACAGTAAGTAGTGTGATGGTTGACTTTTGTTTTGTTTTGTTTTTATAATATGTTATACTTAAGCAGATTTAAGTATGGATTGGAAAGTTCCAGATTAGAGAAAAAAGTTAAATATTTGTGAGATGGAAGGATAAGTTGGTAGATTTATTTGTTTTGGAAAATGGAAATTTTAGGGATTTTTGTCTAGATGCTGAGCATAAGCAGAAAGGTGGGGCTCGATGCTTTGAAATAATCATTGAGAGTTAGTGATTGTAGAAAGAGGAGAGATGCTCTCTGTGGTCTACGCTTCTAAGATGACAAAAAATAAGGAAGAACAATAATCATGCCAAAAAGGGCCTCGGTCTCGTGCAGCCTGTTCATTGCACAAACTGTGCCAAGGACAAGGTCATTAAGAAGCCCATCATTTGGAACATAGTAGGAGCTGCAGCGGTCGGGACATTTCCCAGCTTATGGGCTTCCTAAACTCTGTGTGAGGCTGCTTTACTGTGTGAGTTGTACCATTCACAGCAAAGTGGTCAGGAATCAATCTTGAGAATCCCAGGAGGACCAAACCTCCTAGACCCTCTTCCCTGATTTAGACCTGCTGGTGCTGCCCCATGACTCCACCAAAGCCCATGTAAGGGGCTGTATCCTTAAGGACTAAAGAGAAACTATTGTCTGGAATAAAATAAATAAAATAGAAATTATCCTTTGAGAGAGAAAGAGAGAAGAGAGAAGAGAGGTAGGACTGTTGGCAGAATCAAAGTGCCATGTGAAGTGGTGAGTAGAGATCACTAGAACCAGTTTGCCCAGTAGTGTGACTTCCTCCAGTACAACTTAGTTTTCTTTTAGTTCCATCCAAGTCAAAGCAGATAAGTGGTTTTCTAAACCAGGGCTTTTTCCAGGCAGTGCCATGAAAAGGAAGAGGGGGCAGGCAAGTTTAGAAAATTGACGGGTGTGTTTGTGAAATGATGTAGTGTGGATTCTTAAGTTGAATAAGGAAGGAGTGCAGAAATGGAAGGGTTAATGGATTAGTTCAGAGGGTATTAAAGACTGCCCACTAAAGGGACTGTAAGGCCCAAAGAGTCAACAAAATACTATGTATGTTTTGTTTCCCATATCATGTTTAATGGACTCTTGCACATAGTATTGAATAAACATTTATAGGAATAAACAAATGTAGGAATGTTATTTTCATACTATAAATTTCTCCTTATGAACTCTTACAAAGTATCTTTTTCTCAAATGTTTAATAGTTATGATGATTACCTTATTATAAATTTGTTTTTATTCTTTTCAGGCCAAATAGAATAATGAGACTTCGTTTCAACCATTTTGCTACAGAGTGTAGTTGGGACCATTTATATGTTTATGATGGGGACTCAATTTATGCACCACTAATTGCTGCCTTTAGGTAAGCTCAATAATATAAGTACTAGGCAATCATTATTTGACTTCTAAACTTAAATGTATCTCCTGGATTGTGTTCTTACTGGACTCACCTTTATTATAACATAACATATTTATTTAATAGAATAGGCACTAGATCTGGAGTCCTGTAACTGTGTTCTTGTCCTGACTTGGTTTCTGTAGCTACTGGGTAAGTTTCTGGGTATAGGGCTTGACCTCTGTCTTCAGTTTCCTGATTTATAAAATTGTAATTACTATTAAGTTTATCTGTTCTTCATAGTGGTGGTAAAGTTTATATTTTCAAAATGTTTTGTAATATATTGAATAATATTTCTGTAAAAAATTTAAATCAGAAACTATATTCATCTTGTTCTTGTGTATTCCTTATTATGTAGGCCCTTAGGAGTTATTTGTTGAATTAAAATACAGGGTTTTTTTTTTTTGTGTGTGTATGCATTATTATGGGTGAGGAGACTTTTTGGAAGAATACATATAAAATATATATTGCCTCTTGAGAATGAGGAACATACCATTTATAAATTGTGATTTTTTTAAAATAAGTACATTCTTCACTAATAAAATAATTTCACTGACTATATGGGGTTATTGGAATTCTTTTTGATATTTTAGTTTTTATTGAAAGTAAGTAGCAGTATTTTTTATTATGTTTTAGCCACATGGTCTCTATTTTTCTTCTTTTTGCATGATAGAGGATTTTAAAATTTATTTTTCTAAAATGCATATCCCTTTAGGGAATCATAATTGTTAGTTTTTCATCTTTAATTGTCTTTTTAGATGTCTTTCCTTCAGATTTTTTGTTTCATTGACTTTTAAAAAGAAATCAGCTCAGCAAATTTGTTTTCCTCACTTGGGGCTTGGTGTGATGGCTGTCCCATATGGGTGAAGAAGGTAATAAGCAGTATGTGAAGAGCCAAGGCACCAGAGGTCAGGAGGCTTAGTGTGCCCCCGGGCTTCTCCACCCTTTTTGCTTAGAAAGCTCTCTGACATTTTTGAACTGAGGACCAAGGCCATTTTTTGAGACTAAAAGTTTTACTTTTTGGCCAAAAGAGCTGGCCATGGTTAGGCCATACTAAGTATTTAAAATGGCATTGGCAAAGTGTTGGGCATGTATGTCTTTATGCCAGAATTTGAAACATGCTTTGTGTTATGGCAAGACGCACCCCAGACTTTAACCGAACCATGGAAACTGAGTGTCATGTTATCATTATATTACTTTGGGAATTCACTTGCTACTGTATTCATCAATCAGATTTTATGCAACCCCATTATGTGCCAGGCATTTTTAATTACCTTACTGGTAGCCCTTGTAGGAATATGAGCCAAACATATGGACATAATCCCATGGTTCACCTGGACTGTGTATTTGATGAGTGGACATAGGATTTTTATATCATTGACAACAACAAAACAAGTATAGAGTTATAATTGATCTAATCAGTATGACATGAGGAAAGCTAAAGTATCTATATGGAAAGTTAGTTAACAGCATAAATTAAGATTATATTAAAATTTAACTAATAACATATTTGAGTATGAATTTTTAAAAATTACTGAGCAAATATATAAAAATTGGAATTTACTTAAAACACAAAAGTCTTAAGGCACTGATGTGCAGAACAATTACAAAACTGCTGTCTTAGGCAATAATTGCTACACCATAGTTTGCTCAGGAACATGTTAGGTAAAGGAATCAACTCAGTGGTGATGTGCTAAGAATTCAGAGTATAGAGAGACTGGCAGCTGATTGTTCAGCCAGGTGGATAATAATAAAGAAAAGAAAAACAAAACAGGATTCAGGAGATGTAGACTTTTAATATGGGTTCTGCCCAAGGCTCTGTGAGAACTTGAATTCAAGCACTTTAGACCTCAGCTTCTAAAACCTAAAGCGAAGGTGTTGTACTGTGTTCTCTGTGGCTTTATTGCAAACTATAAAGTTTAACTTGACTCTAAACTGGTTTATTACATTTATCTGTTATGTATTGAAGTTTTAAATAAAATTGTTTTAACAAACAGAGTCCATTATCAGACAAATGTGAGAATCACTGGAGCAATTTATCTTTTAAGACTCTTTAGCACTCCAGCATTATAATTTTCTGGTGCTTCAACAAATTTATGTACAGAGCATTTGTGGACTAGGTTCTCTGCTAGTGTATGTTGGAATGAAGATGCTGGGATAGTAGTGGTGATAGGTGCAGGGGAGTGGTTTTCTTCCCTGGGAACACTCTTCAAAGAAACACAATTCCTAAGCAAGGTGTGCTGACATCTCACCACTGAGCTTGTAACCATTGATGGTCAATATCAGTAACCACCTACTTTCTGACCTCTTATGTGAAAAAATAGTATTTTATCATGCCAGGCATAGTGGCACATGCCTGAAATCCCAGCACTTAGGAAGCTGAGGCAGGAGGATTATTAATTCAATGCCAGCTTGGGCTAAATAGCAAAACACTGTTTCAAGAAGAAAAAGAAAAGGAAAAAAAAATTACTCCCCCACACTATTCCTTTTAGAATTATTATTTTTAAAGAAAGTCATATATTGATGAGGCTGTTGTTTAAATGTAATAATTGAAGAAGGCTTATGAAAGCAGGGTCAGTCTGTCTAGTACCCAATTAAAAAACTATAATTAGAGCATGATATACTTAAGATGGCCAAAGGCAGGCACCTCTGTCAAATATTCTTGGACCATTCCTTACTAGTAAAAAGTTTAGATACTTCCTGACTCCAACACCAGGCTGTGACCCCTGACTTTTAAGTATCTGCTTCATTTTCTGCATCTTTCTGCCCTTTGAGTAGTCTTTTTGAATGTCAAATTGAAAATTATTTGTTGTGATCTTTTTTCTTTTGATTTTATTTTTAATAGTTTTATTATATTTTTAATTAGTATACATTAATAATTTGAGGGGGTTTCATTATGGTGATTCTATACATGTATACAGTGTACTTTGAACAAGTTCACCCCTCCATCATATTCCCATTTCTTCCTCTCTCTTCCCCATTTCTCAAAGTGTTTGGTAGGTTGCATTATGCTGTCTTTGAATATGTATGCATAGTGTACTTTGATCCTCTTTATCTCTTAGTGACTAGTTGTGATTTTTTAATCTTGTCAACTTTATTGGATTGGTAAGAATTTAGGAGATTAGTAAAACATACCTGTGGATGTATTTGTGAGGGCATTTCCAGAGAGGATTAACTCAGGTGTGAAGAATCACCCTCAATGTGGGTGGCACCATCCCATAGACTGGGGGTCAATGGAATATAAGGAGAAAAAAGAGAGAGCTCCCTGGCACAGGCATTCTGCTTTTCTGCTTTCTGTCTACTATGAGATAAGAAACTTTGCTCTGCCACACTCTCCCCACTATGATGGTTTGAAATGTAAGCAAAATAAATCCTCCTCCCTTAAGTTGTTTCTGTCACAGCAGTTGAAAGTCTGGCTAACACATTAGTAAATTTACATAGGATAGTTGGCATAGATAGATTATACCTCAGGTATGTTCAGAGAGCCCATGTTTGCCTGGGACAATTATGCTAAGTTTTAGGTCTGTGAAGAAAATATAGTTCTGTGATTTTTCAAAAATGGTTCTAAACAATGATGATCTCTGTTTAAAATATAAAATTATGAACAACCTTAGGGTAGGCAGTACTTGATTTGCTCAGGTTTAACCACTGGCTGCAGCCTAGTTTATACCTGCATTTACTGATCTCAGAGGTGGCTCAGGATGACAGCTGTATGGCATGCCTGCAGTAGCTGGTCCTCACCCGTATTTCTTCCATTGCCTTGTGTGCTGAGTGAGGCTGTTTGTGTTCATTTACTCTGTAAAAGTTTAGTTTTGTCATAAACCAGTTACTTTGTTTTCACACTGGGAGAAATCCACACACTCCAAAGTTGGCACTTTTTCAAGGTTTTGAAGAGAATAGAAATGAGTGCCTAAGTCTCTCTCATAGTAAAGAAGCCAATCCACTCTCTCCAGCATCATGTAGTTGCAGTTGGTAAAGTCATCTGTCCTACACATGTAAATATCTCCACCATATGAAGACCTTCACCCATTGCTTTCCGGGCACTAGGAAAGTGCTGCTTCAGCATTCCATATGCTCTACCAGTTTGATAATCATTATGTCACTGTGAGCTAGATATGCATTGAGGAAATTGAGGCTCAGAATTGTCAGTGACATGTCCAGGCATATGGAGCAAGGAATGCAGCTAATGTCTATTTGATCCTGAAATTCATATTAGACTAACAGAGAGTACAGGATCTCCCACATGTGACTGACATCCCCAGTTCTTTCCTGTGCCAGTGCCTCTATGGGACAGTTACTTTTGCTTCTCTCACACCTGTATTTAGGTGGCCCTGTTTTTTTTTTCTTTTTTTTTTTTAGCAGTATTGGGAGTTTGAATTCAGGACCTCCTGCTTGCCAGGCAGCTACTCTACTACTTGAGCCATGCCTTCAACCCTTTTTGTTCTGGTTTTTTTGGTGATAGGGTCTTGTGAACTGTTTGCTTGGGCTGGCTTCAAATTGTAATCCACTTGATCTCTGAGTAGCTAGGATTATAGACATGAGCCACTGGTACCCAGCACCCTGATCTTAAATAAGTACATATCCCTTCAGTATTTCAAGGGATTCTGGTGCAGAGCTGAAAATCTGAAATGCTGCAAAATTTGAAACTTTTTGAGGGCTGATGTAATGTTACAAATAGAAAATTCCATACCATGAAACCTTGTTTCATGCACAAAAATATTAAAGGTAGCACATAAAATTACTTTCTGACTGTGTGTTTAGATTTGGGTCCCATCCCCAAGATGTCTCATTATATATATGCAAATATTCCCAAATCTGAAAAAATAGGAAATTTGAAATACATCTGGTCCCAAGCATTTGGATCAAGGACACTCAATCTCTAGTTGAAAGCATGATGGTTGAAACCATTTGGGTTGCTGATCAAATGCCACCTCTTTGAGAGCCCTTCCCTAATTGCCTTTCTAAAGCAGCACCTTTTTATTCTTTTCCTGTGCCTTGTTTCCCTTTCTGGAATTCTGTCTTCCTGGTGTTGTATACAAACACACCTGTGTGTGTGGGGATGTATCCAGGTTTATTTATTTCTGTAACTGTACTCTATAAGGACAGGGACATTGTCTTATTCACTGTTACATTCCTGCTGCCTGGAACAGTATCTCACATGTAGTTAGTAAGTACTTAGTAAATATTTGGTGGTTGAATACGTAGTAAAGAAGAAATGTGTTTTGTAATCCCTGGATCTGAGGATTCCTAGAGTTCTGTCTTCATAAAAAAAAAAAATTAAATGAGGAGTTTTGGTCCCATTTCCTGTGTGGGGAGCATGAAATGTTTCTCTTTCTTTCCCTCACTTCTCTCTGCTTTATCCTGTTATACTAAAAAAAAAAAAAAAAATTAAATGAAAGTCCCATTCTCTTCCTCTTCATTCTCTGCTTTTGTACTCCTCCAGTCAGTTTTACATACCCTCACATAAGTTCACATAAATGTACACTTATGTGGGGCCCATTGTTTTGCAGTCTGGCCTGTCCCTATCCTTGATGAGCTTCTAGTTAGACCTACAGACGTACAGCTTCCTAATGACTCACTCAGCTGGCTCCCTGTGGATAACTTGCTTTTCCACTTGTTGCTATCTGAATAATGCTGCAATTAGGATTATTGTATGTTTGTCTTTGTGTACATGAGAAGTATTTTTTCAGCAAAAGAAGGGAATTTCTAGGTCATAGTCAATGAGCATTTAAGACAGTCATATTTCTGAGGTGGGACTTCACCTGGGTATGCTGTAGGAAAGCAAACGGGTTAGGGGTGAGTGAGAAGGGGAGAGATTAATAGGAGACAAGATGTTTGTTTATTGGGTGGAGTTGTTACATGGGATCTGGTAAGGATCTAGGCATTGACTAAATGTAATGGTGGTAGTGAATCAATAATGGGGCAAAAGTCATTGACATATGAAAAGATGCAAATGGCAAGTCAACAGGAAAAATGATTAAACTCAGGAGTATAAAAGAACTTAAAATCTCAATCAAATCACTTTCCTTTATTAAATTAACAAAGCTAAAATCAGACTGGTAATCCTTGTTGATAAAGTGAATGGGATGGATCCTTTCATTTTGTATTGATAGGATTTCAAGTTAGCATCTCTCCTCTGGAAAAGAAGATACTATTTTGGATGAGAAGTCTTAAGAATTGTATTTAGACCCTTTGACTTAGATATTCTTTTCCTCACCTGGATTTTTTGGCACCCAACCAATACTTAGAATATTGCACTCTGGGTGAGGTCCTAAGGAGAGATTTTAGTGACAGGGTCTTATGGTATATTATTTGTAAAATAGAATATAAAAATGTAAGTGGTGCAAATTAGGCAAAGAAAATATTTATGTTTTTATATAGATAAGTATTGTATAAAAATATTTATCTTTCAGTACATATTTGGTATTTATCAACTCATAGTTTATTGTGATTGTGGAGATTTAAGAGCACTATAAAAAGTTTTATAAAAAAGTGAATAGAGCTATTGATTTTAAATCTTATTATAAATAAAACCAAGATTAAAGGAAGCCTAGCTAAAGATTCATGTCTGTTCCTCCGCAGATCCAGAGCTAATTTAGACCCAGAAGTAATAGGGTAGGTCACAGGAATTCATTCCTCTGCCTGGATGTGGTTTTTCAAATTGTAAAGATGAAATCCAGTTTTGGATTTGTATCTTCCACTGTTTGATGTGTCTGTAATTGTGCTTCCCCCTGTAAGAAATGTGTTTCCATTTCAGTGGCCTCATTGTTCCTGAGAGAGATGGCAATGAGACTGTCCCTGAGGTTGTTGCTACATCGGGTTATGCCCTGCTGCATTTTTTTAGTGATGCTGCTTATAATTTGACTGGATTTAATATCACTTACAAGTAAGATATTTAAATCTAATATCTATGATTTAGTTCAAAAGACTGTATGTTTTAAGTAATAATGACTAATACATTGAGGGCTTACAGTGTGCAAGTGTTGCACTAAGCAGTCTTGCATGGATTTTCTCATTTAAAATCCTTTTAAAACCCCAATAAGGCTCCGGAACTGTCTTCCTACTCAGTTTATGACAGAGAAAACTGGTACAAAAGGGAAATTGTCAGCATATGTTGGGAGGGACTGCAGTTTCAATCTAGGTGTAGCTGTTTGTTGAGCTTCTTCTGCAAGAGAGGGGCACTTTCCTACTAATGGATAAAAACATTGGAGTGTTTTGCTAAGCTTATTTTAACAAACTTTGCTGTTTTCATGTACTAAGTAGTAGAAGAATCTATACTCAAAGTATTACGATAATCCATTTATCCCTCAATTTTTAAAAATCTGAATTCTGTCAATATAGCCTTAAGCTATATTGTTGTGAGACACATTGTAGTTAAACTCTTACATTAAGTTAAACTAGTTTTCCTCCTTCCATCTGTAATGAGCAGTAAAATTGCCAAGGAATTTGAAGTATACCAGTTGGGACAATAATCTTAAATTCAGCAAATTTTCAGAGACTACCCAGAGGGATATATGTCATGAGTATATTGTTAGCAGTTTGTTTTATCCCTTCCCTCCCCATGTTGATAAGCATGAATTCAGCAATTTCATAATGCCCATCACTCATAGATGATCAAGAATAGGATCATTGTCTGGCCTTGAGCTAAGTCTGGACAATTTTATACAAATTGCTTCTTCTCTCCTTGTAATTTCTTTATGAGTCATTTATTTTTATTCTTCTCATGTGAGAATCCAGCAGTGTTGGTTTGATTTCATCACCTCTACCCTAGATAATAGCTATACAGTGTTTAGTGATCCCACTTGTGCTCAATCTTAAGTACTGCAGTTATGCTTATGAATGAACTGAAGAAATAGTGAGACCTTTAAACCTTGAATAGGAGGAAGTTCTGCTAAATTAATTGAAGTATTGCTTTGTGTTGACTTAGTTTTCCCCACTGTCTTTATAGTTTTGACATGTGTCCAAATAATTGCTCAGGCCGAGGAGAATGTAAGATTAATAACAACAGCAACGTTGTTGAGTGTGAATGTTCAGAAAACTGGAAAGGTGAAGCGTGTGACATTCCTTACTGTACAAACAACTGTGGTTTTCCTCATCAAGGCGTCTGCAATTCAAGTGATGTCAGAGGATGCTCCTGCTTCTCAGAGTGGCAGGGTAGGAGCTTCTTTTTCTTATTTCAGTTCACAGAATGCTTTCAGTTTAATAAATTGTAATTGACTTTATTCTTAGTATCTGTACAATTTATGTTAATCAAATATCACATGGCATTTAAGCTTTCACATTTCCTTATGTAGCTTCTTAAAATCTTTCTCAATTTCACACATATATAGTTGTGGTCTCTATAGAACTGTGGAGGAGTTTGCCATCCTTTACAGCTTATTCATGGAAGTTGTGGTCTCTATAGAACTGTGGAGGAGTTTGCCATCCTTTACAGCTTATTCATGGAAGTTGGAGAGCTCGGTCTCAACCATAAAGAACATTGTAGAGAACCAAGCTAGGAGGTGGACAAGAGCTGACAATAATGCCATTTCCTTAGAAACTTTCTCTAAGTTCAGAGAAAGTTGGTATCAGTTATACATTCGAAAGCTAAAGCAGTCACCTAATGGCATTATCTACAGAAATAGATTATTAAAGGAGCTTTAGGGGTTCTTTGAAGAGGTGAATAAAGTCAGTTGTTATTGATTAGTAATTTTCATTGTATACTTATCTCTTTCCCAGAACCTTATTCATTTATTTATTTAAAATTAGGAATTCTGGACTGGAGGTGTGGCTCCAGTGGTAGAGTGCCTGCTTTATAAGCACGAGAAGCCCTGAGTTCAATCCCAGTCCCACCCAAAAAAAAAAAAAAATTAGGAATTCTAATTTCTGAGACTTGCTTCAGAATGGAAATGGGGAAAACTGAAAGGAAAGTGGGAGAAGGTCAGAAAGAAGTCTTGCTTCTGGAGGGGTGGAAAAAAATACCTCCATCCTCTTAGGGTCCTAGCTGGGTTTGAGAATTAAACTGATACAAGCTTTATTAACAGGAGAAAATATATAAATGTACAAAGAAGCAAATAGGTATTTAAACTGAATTGGAAAAGAATTTGTGAAGAAGCAACTATGTGGGAGGCTTAAAAGTTATTTAAAAATTTTTTATAAGCATAAATTAATTGTACAAAGGAGTTTCATGGTGATATGTACATAATGCATATAGTAATATACTTTTATCAGATTTACTGTCTACATTGCTCTTTCTTGCCCCATCCCTCCGCCCTCTCCTTTTTAACAGTTTTTAATGAGTTTCATTATACTATTTTCATACATACATATATAATACAACTTCAGTCATATTTACCCTCATCACCCATCACTGTCTCCTTTCCCCCTTCCCCTCCCACTGAGAACCTTTTTTATTTTGAAAAGAAAAAAAATTAAATGGGTTTAGCTGACATTGAAGTTAATAGAGTATTTGAATGCCTTCTGCCTTGCAAAATGTTTCAGCAAAAGCCAAACCTCCCAAGAGTAGTCTTGTCTCTTGCATGTGTAAAGTTCCTGGCTTTACCAGAAGATGGATGGTTTTCATTACTACTCTCAGGTCTAGTTGTTACATTTTAGCCCTAAGATTTTTTCATCAGAGTTAATAATTCCTTTGTGTAGTCTTTCCTCTGAGAGCTGCTTATGCAAGTTTTTCATTATTGAAAAAGCTCAACCTGGGTATGGCCAAGTCATTAGAAAGTATGTGATTTATTAGGGATTATTTTTGGTCAATATCTTGAATAAATTGAAAACACAAAGAGATTGGTTTGATATTTAAATGTTAAAGAAAGGACTAAGTACTTTTTGAATATGTTACATTTGGATGATTAAAACTCAAAATGCAATAAGCTTCAAAGCTGCTTTTTTGTGAAGCTAATTTATTGTGTTTTCTTAGGTCCTGGATGTTCAATTCCTGTGCCAGCTAATCAGTCCTTTTGGACTCGAGAGGAATATTCTCACTTAAAGCTCCCCAGAGCCTCTCATAAAGCTGTGGTCGATGGAAATATAATGTGGATTGTTGGAGGATATATGTTCAACCACTCAGATTACAGCATGGTTTTAGCGTAAGTTGTTTTAAACATTTTTGCAAGAAGCTTCATTTTATAAAGTACAAATAAGCCAAAAGAAAAGAAATTATTATTAATTTCCACTACTTCAGGAAAATCTCTGTTACTATTTGGCACTAGTCTTTCAAATGTTCTTGATGTATGCTGAGTTTTTGAAATAGACAGTTACAAAGAATTTTTGTTACGGTAAGAAAATTTATCTTTTTGAGATACTTTCTCTGATATTTTGCTTCAGGAACTTAAATGGTTTGTATAAATAGTGTTATTTTATCTTTTAATTTAATTAATAGTTTCATATGTCAGATGGTTTGAATTTATAGTTTACTAGTGAAAATTGTGCCTTTGTCTAATACTTCCCAGAGTTCCAGATCTTTTGCTGCTCATCTTGAAGGGAGAATATGCATTATCACAGAAGAATTAGCTATGAAATTTATGAACACTTACTGATGATGATTTTATTTTATTTATTTTTTGGTTGCATTCAGGTTTGAACTCAGGACCTCACACTTGCTAGGCAGTCATTCTTACTGCTTGAGCCATTCCTCATGCTGATTTTATAAGCTGGAAATTACAGACATTTAAATTTTTTTTCCACAGAAAATACGTTTATCCTACTCTCTGCAACTTAATGTCCTAGGTCAAAGAGAAAGATAATTCACTGTCAGAATAAAGCATCCAAATTTAGTTTTTTTTTTTTTTTTTTTTCTTGGTGGGACTCGGGTTTGAACTCAGGGCTTTGCACTTTGCAAAGCAGGTCCTCCAGTCCATTTTGCTCTGGTTATTTTGAGGCTATTTGCCTGAACTGGCCTCAAGCCACAGTCCTCCTATCTCAGCCTCCCAAGTAGCTAGGATTACAGGCATGAGCCATTGGCATTTGGCTAGTCATTTAAAATTTTAAAGTAATTTAACTATAGACAGCATCAGGTAGAACAGACAACTGTGCTGAACCCCTATAAAGACTAGGGTTTCATATATTAGAAGTCTCTTCTTGTCAAGACTGCCTTCCATGAAAGCTCTAGGTTCTGGTGCTGATTTACCACATAGCTTGCTGGACCCCAGAAAGTTGCCCATGGTCTGCTACGTGATGGAAGATGGTATGACTAAGCCTCTAGCACCATTTTATACCATGAGGATGGAACATCATTACACCAATTTCTGATTCTAAAAGGACAGCTGTCCCAGGGAAGGGCAGCAATTTCTTCAGCAGCTACTTCCGGAAGATCTTTTAGCCAAATGATACTCTTTCTGAGTGAGTTGATCCACAGTCTGTCATCTACATATTCATAGTCATTTTTCATCTTTTCATGTCACACAACATTTTCTAGTCTACAAAGTAACCTAGAACTTGGCCTAGAACTTGGAATGTCTGTAGCAAACAGCCCAGCATGGAGACAGCCATATTGTCCCTGAAAACCTAGGCATTTTCTATTAATGAAGATTGTAAAACACCAGTATCTGTTCCTAAAGAGATTCTGGAAATATGGCAGTCTTGAGAAAACTGGGGTGGTTGGTTACCCTAACCTCTAGCCAATGACCAATCAGTCATGGAAGTACTGACCCTGCACCTGAGGTGCCATTCTTGTTCCCAGGCTCCCTTTGATGTTAGAACTAAGCTAGATCTCCACCAATACTACCTCTTTCTTAGCTTTTCCTTCTTCTGAACTTGCTTATCTCACTTCCTATCAGAATCCCATCTCAGACTCTGCTTGTAGGGTGCCTAACTGAGACACTAATCTTTCCAGATTTTTTTTCTCAATATTTTAAATCTAGTAATCTTTGATTCTCTCAGGGGTCCATAATCTATTGATTGTGTCTTATTCCCCATTGATTGTATCTTACTCCCTCCTCCATTCTTCTGTTCAACTATCATACCTTCTTTTTACTTTGCAGATTTCTACAATCTTTTCTCCTATGTTCATTCTTAGCTAATGGCTTTGCTTTCTGTTTCTTTTCTTTCTTTTTTTTTTTTTGCAGGACTGGGGTTTGAACTTAGGGGCAACACCTTGAGCAACTCCACCAGTCCTTTTTTGTGATGGTTTTTTTTCTTTTGAGATAGGGTCTCAAACTATTTACTGAGGCTGGGTTCAAACCATGATCCTCCTGATCTCTGCCTCCTGCATAGCAAGGATTACAGGCGTGAGCTACCAGTGCCCAGCTACATTGCTTCCTGTTTCTATTTTGAAAGATAAAGTTCATTAGAAAAGGACTTCCACAAATTCTCACCACATTTACCCTTCCCCTGTGTCTATGCTTGTTTATTCTGTCTTACATATCTGTAGACTAGCGTTGTTCAGTAGTTTTGTTCATGATGGGTATGTTCGGTGTTACTAGTCACCGAACATGTGGCTAGTGGGACTGAGGAGGTAAATTTTTTTATTGTTTATTCATAGTCCTTATCTTACTGGATCTTGTACCAACATTTGATATGGTCCATCCTTCCATCCTGTTTTAAGCACTTTCTTTAGTTGACTTCTTGGATGCCACATTTTCTTGATATTTTTTTCTAGTTGTATTCTTTCTCATACTTCTTACCTATTTCCTCTTTAACTGACTGATTTGATAATGCACTCAGGGATCAGCCCTTGATCTGCTTCTGGCGGTAGATTCACTCTCTTGGTGATCTTATGTAATATATTGGTCTTTATGTTGGTGACTCCCAAATTTATATCTGCAGTTTAGACTTTTGAACCCTTATCTGTAACTTTACTTGACACCTCAATTTGTTATCTAATAAGAATTGTAAAGTTATCTGAAAACTGACCTTTCTCCCAAGCCTCCTTCCCCCCTCCCCAATTGTCCTCATCTCAATTAATGACCATTCCATCTTTCTTTTTTACTTCAGCCAAATATCTTGGCATCATCCTTGACTTCTTGTTTTTTCAAGTGATAATACTTGCAAATACTTATCACTAGTTGCATAACAAATTACTATAAATTACCACAAATTAGTAGCTTAAAACAACTCACATTTAATGTCTGACTTTTTCTTGGTCAGGAGTCTGGGTTCTGTGCACTCAAGTTGTCACCTGGCCTACTCCTAGAGGCTGACTGAGGAAGAATTTACTTCCAGACTCACCTAGGTTGCTGGCAGAATCAATTTCCTATGGGTTTAGGACTGAGGGTCCTAGCTTTATGCTGCTTTTTGGGTAGAAGTTGCCCTCAACTCACACAGGCTACCTTCATCTCCTAGAGGCTACCCATAGTTTCTTGTCACTTGAACTTCACTGATATGGCTGCTTACTTTATCAGTTCACAAGAAGAGTCTTGACTCAGTCTGCTAGCAGTATGGATTACAGAAATGACATCCCATCATCTTTCCTATACTCTGTTGAACAGTAGAAGCAAGTCATTGATTCTGCTCACACTCAAGAGGAGGACATTATACATAGGTATGAGCACCAGGAGGCAGAGATCATGGGGACCATCCAAGTATCTACCTGCCACAATATGTCAGCACATGTTGTTAGCAAGGCCTTTAAAATCTGTCCCAAATCTGGCAGATGCTGGTTTCCCCTATTACTACCCACTGTCAACCATGGCCAACCCCACTGTGATCTTCAACTTGCCGTTGATGGTGAGTCCTTGACCTGTCTCTCCTTCAAGTTGTTTGCATACAGAGTTCCAAAGACAGCAGAAAACTTTCATGTTCTGAGCATTGAGGAGAAAGGATTTGGTTATAAGGGTTCCTGCTTTTATGGAATTATTCCAGGATTTGTGTGCTTGGGTGGTCTTCACACACTGTAATAGTAATTCTGTTAACAGGGAAAAATTTGATGATGAGGACTTCATCCTGAAGCATATAGGCCCTGGCATCTTGTCTATGGCAAATTCTGGAGCAAATCTGCACTGCAAAGACTTGAGTGGTTGCATGGCAAGCACATTGTCTTTGGGAAGGTGAAAGAGGGCACGAATGTGGTAGATGCCATGGAGAACTTTGGGAACAGGAATGGCAAGACAAGCCAAGATCACCATTGCCAACTGTGAACAACTCTAAGCCATTTGACTTGTGCTTATTGTAACCACTAGTCTATCTTTTCTGTAGATCAGGATTGTACCTGTCTCTCTTATCTGCTTACAATATGCTATAATTTTTGTGGCTTCACTGGGTTGCATATTTTCCTTATTCCTCTCCAAGTCTAGCTGGCTTTCAGAGTTAAGTTTATGACTGAATAAAAATTCAACAACAACAACAAAAATGTATCCCAAAATCTAAACACCTCTCACAACTTTTATTGCTGTCACCATGAAAAGGTAAAATTAAAGTTGTGAAAGTAATTGTCTCTTCCACTGTTATACTAGATTTTTGTAAGAGCCATATATGTAGTTTTACCCTTGCACCTGGCATCATTCCTGTTTTTTTTTTTTTTTTTTTTTTTTGTGATGAGGGAGAGGAGTAGGAGCAATTTGGTGTACTGGGGTTTGAACTCAGGGCTTTGTGTTTGCTATGCACCAAACTTCCAGATGTTCCTCTTTCTGAAAGCAAGAAATCTGGGAGTCATTTTGATAACTTCCCCTCCTTTCTCTTCTTGTACCATAACCTCTTCTCAATCCTCTTCAACTCTGTCAGCAAATACATATCATATTTATTCATTTTTCTGCCTGCTTGCCATATCTTCTACCTAGTCTTCAGTACTGGATTCCTGTCTAATTCATATGTTTCCATTCCTTCCTCTTAATCTATTTTCTGAATATGAACTGGGATAATGCTTTAAAAGTGTAAATCATACCATTTACTAGCTTCTTAAAAACCATTGGCATTGTCCCATTAGGTCCTAATTGTCCTGTGTGATCTGAGCACTGTTTACCTTCTAAGGTTCAGTTTGTCCTTCTCCTGCCTTCATTATCTGTACTGCTCCACCAGCCTTCTTTACCCAGACTCACTGTGTGCATACTTACTTTAAGGGCCTTTGCACTTACTGTTCCCTGTTCCCGCAGTTTTTCCTCACTTACGGATCTTAGTTTAATTGTCCCACAGAGAAGTCTTCCTGACCTTCTGG